CCCGGGATGGGTGAACTATCTCCCTTCCGCTTTTACACCCACTCCGGAACTTCGTTCCCCTGCAAAAATTGGAATTACTGTAGGTGGCACGAATTGTTTCATCAAAAACCCCCGTCGCAACCTCCCCCCCTCTTCGATGGAATGGGCCGTTCTACCGAACGAGTCCAGAAACACTTCTTCTAACCTGAAGGGATGGAAGTTTTGAGCAGGATCCGATTCGAGACTTTACCAACCCTGAAGGGATGGATGATTTAAAACAGCAAAGCGTCACAGAAGGAGATTGCTTGGCTTATTCATTTAATTATTTATTTGTTTACTTATTTATTCATCTACGCATTTAAGATGCACCTTTGACGATGAACGAGGAAAGTTGTATTTTTATAAGCGTGCCCACTAGGATAAAAATTAACTAAGTAACCATAACACAATCGTACATGGGGATATATTAATATTCGCCCTGGGTTAGGTTAACGCATTTACCCTATTAGATTAGGGTAGCCGAAGTAACTTCGCTCCACGGTAGGTAAGGGCCCACCTTTCAATCGATCGTAGAAGCCGGCTTCCTCCAAAGATTTCAAATTGCTGTCCTTCAATATTTTCCGACGACATCAGGGGCTCTCATGTCGTTAGGGAAGGGAGGGGTATCCAAGTGATTGAGCCTTTCAGATTCAGTTTCAGCTTTTGGGACTAAGCCTTCAGAAGGGCAAGGGATTGGCGGATGTGAGCAATTTGGCCTCCTCCTAGCTTTTCTCCGGTCAACTGGGCATAGCCCTAGTATCACCTCCCATCGTTATTTGATGCCCTATTTTGAATGCACCCCCCTTCCCCTCCGAAGGTCATGAGCCCACTAGCGAGATCAAGAAACCAAGAACTGCTGCCTCATCAACTTATGCAAACACAATTTGTTCCATTCTATTTCTCCCTAATGAAAACCACCTGCAACCGCCCGCCTCCAACATTCCAAAGTCCAAGGAAAACCACTGCTTCAACAAATCGAACAAATTTTGCTCGTTTGGATTGTTCTCAAGATTTCTTCCTGGATGTTTTTCCTGCACTGCGCTTCGTTTTCACCACAGGAACCAGCCAGTTTCATTAGTAATAGTTTCATTTCGATTAGCGATGGACTTCAAAAATTCGGCTCTATAAGGCTCGAAGTTCTCAACGACTGATTTTGAAGTTTTTGTTTTCCCATAATCAATATCGCCTCGTCATATGTTGTCAGAGTTGCAGGGCACTTTGGGTTGTTATTGGGCGCTGCCCACATATGTCCCATGACTGCGTGTGCCCTTGGCGCTAGTCTCCCCGTCCCTTGCACGGGGGTCGTTCCGAGTAGCTGAAACAATTGTCTTTTATTTTCACAAACATCGTATAACTTCGTATTTGAACGAGCAATCGAAGAGTAGGAAAGGTTTGCATGTTGAGACAAACCTCAAACGATAACGAAGCTTTGCTGCTGTATAGTGAATGTGTAATAACAATTCGTTTTAGTACTTGTGTTGGCGACTTTATGGACGCATTCATTAATTGGGATAAGCTAGTACATTAGACTTTTGATTTGACTAGACATTCAAACTTCACACGCTGTTAATGTTGCGTTCACACTTGTGTTTTAAATGTGACTCTCAGTAGACGCAAAAAAGACCAAATGCTTTTTACCTTGTTCTGCTCATTCAAGGATTTGGACCTTTTCCTCGGTTTCTGCACGCGCTATTGATTGTTGTAAGGCCTTCACTAGACAAAAATCTATGGTCAAGAGCTCTATGCCTTTACTAAGAATTTGTTGATTCTTTCGGTGTTTCCTATATGCCTCGAAGGATTCCCATATTGTTGTCGATTTCAGATGGACTACACAGTCTCAGGGACTGATTCCCTGGAAAGCATCGCCGCCGCACATGATTGTACAGTCGGTGAATTAATGAAATTGAATCGGATGAGCTCTCGCATGGTCAGTTCTTTTTGTGTTTACATTTTTTCCTTATTTTTATGGGCGCAGTGTGGCTGCGGGGCGGGGAGCGTTCGTATAAGATTGCGATGAGCTTCACGGGATATCCTCACGTGTTAGGACTTAAGTCTTTGGAGGGGAGGAAGGGATCCGAGGTGTGTAAGTGATTCACTTTCTCCGGAATTCGTCCTGTTCCTTTAGGTTTATCCGTAGCGGCCTTCCTTTAAAGTGTCCCCGCTCTCCGAGGTACATTTTGCAACCTTTTATGTTTTCACGATGCTATCGCAAGAAATCAGTGGCATCAAGATTAAGTTGTGGGACGTTTGAGACACGCGTTGGAAACGAACTTGCCCATGCCTGAGTTTCCTACTCCCGTCTTTGTGATGCGTATCGTTATTCACTCCACGAAATGTTGCACGTGTCATTTTTCCAAATTTTTTTTATGGAGTGTTCAGAGTTGGCTATCGTAGTGCGATTAGTCTAATGAAAAATATACGTATAGATTAGGTGATTAGGCAGGGAAGACAACATATGTACGATTGGTTTGCTCCGCCCATAGAACGTTGTAGGCGATTTGGCGATTAGGCGATCGATCAGTTGGTACGTGCAACAAAATCAATGACTAGCGTACGTTGACCACTTATGACGCTCCATTACCCTATTATGTAATAACCATTTTTTTTTTACGGCTGTGGCTTGTTGCTTGACAAGAGTATTTTTTCGACAGAGGAGAATAGAGAGAACATCCCCATGTATTTTTTAGTGGCTTCAATGAAATATGTCATGCAGTCGACTTCGTCCGCATTGCGTGAGCAGGCTCCGTTTTCTCCCTTTCCCGTTTTCTTTTGTGTTCCATTATTCTTGTGGCCTGCACTAATACGAAGTACTTTTTCCTCCTTCGTGCCCAAATCCATTTTGGCCTTGAACTCTACTCAACCACTTTTCATATCATCAAGGTTACTATACTAAAATATATGTGAAACTGAGGGGTTTATGCGACATGATCCCAGGTGGATGTCTGTATTATCAGAACGCCAGTTCTCGTGATTTTGAGGCACGTTCGTTCGGGCCATCATCAGAAGAACGTTTTCGCCCTGAATACAAAAAATGGATGATGTTAGAACACGCACGTTTGCAGAGGCGCTTTGCTGACTTTGAGATAGGCCATGCATTGCAGAATCGAATACACATTTATTAAGGATTGCTTTCTGCTACCAGTGACCCTGCATCACAAGCAACTCTGTTTTTTTTAACCGTTTTCTATAACTTTCTCATTATATCTATCTTATCTCTTATCTCTAATATCGTTCCTTTGTCTCTGCTCCGGTATTCTTGGTGACTGTGCACTCTTTTGAGTGTATAAATAAGTAAATATCCTTGCGGGCGGTCCATTTCCTCAACCCTGGTACCTGTTCACGCCGCTGTTCATGCTTGGCTTATCCTTTTTTTAATCCATCTTCCTTTCTTGTTTACGGTTTGCTTCCGGTTTCTTAGCGGAGAATATTGTGCGACAATTGATTTTTTTCACCTTCAATTGCTCTGAAGTCAGTAATCAAACAAAAGACTGACAAATGAAATCGAAGTGGTAACCGGTGACATAGGGCTCTTTTGCTGAGATGTCATTGGTCCCTGGGGAGACAAGTTCGGGGAAGGACTGGGAATAGGAATGCACATTCTATTGAAACATTCTAGGTTAGACCGTTGCGTTTGCGCTTGGTTGTTTAATCGGAAGATAGCGAGCCTACGGCAGTGAAAAAGGCCAAGGAAAATCCCCCTGGTCTGAGAACAAGTCGCAGCTTTCTCTTCGCTTAATGAGAGATTCCGTAAAAATGTCGAATTCTCTAGACGCAGCACATTCCAGAATTAATCGGGGCAGTTTTTGCTGCTTCGCGGCATAAGTAGTCTCTTGATGCATTGTGCGTTTGTCAAAATAGGACTTATTATCATTCTTTATATAAAAAACTGAAAGAACTTTCCCAATCAACTGAGTTCTTTCCAGGTCTTTCCGGGTCAGAGAATACAGGTGCCGTTTTCGTCACAAGATAACGTATTTGAAAGTGATGCTATTGCTACCTCAACTCCTCGTCATGGCAATCAAATAGCGGGCGGGGAAAGTGCTGGTAAGTTTCTATGGTCCTACACAAAAATTTTTCCTAGTACTTCGTCCATCTTCAACTGATAGTTGATCTGTGGTTTTATTACATTTTCGTACGGTAACGTTAGGAACAGCCTTATTAGTATTCAGCATAATTTCGGGAATAAAATTCGTTTTCTCAGCTGATGGGATTCGTAAAGGGCCAGGCGGTGCTGTTCCAGCACAACATCAACGTGGCAGCAATCTGATGAAAACGCAAAGCGCACCTCTTCCTGGGCTTGATGAAGCTGACTCAGACTGTCTTCAACGGTTTCTGAAAATCAAGGTATGCTTCATTGGAGTCTGAATTGATTGTTGCTTTACTTTTCTTTTTGAGATCACTTTTCTTTGTTTTGTTTTCTCCGGAAATTCGCATCCTTTTTTGAAGTTCATTTGCTTAATTCACATTTTTATTTCTCTCTGGAACATGAGTTGATTGACAGTTTTGGAGTTAGGTGAAGCAAGTTACTGAGTCGGACGGTACGGTGTCAGGGACGCTTCTTGTTACACCAAATTGCCTCATGTTTGACCCTGATGTTAATCATCCCTTGGTCAAAGAAAATGGGCAGGATTTATATGGAATGGCTGGCGTATAGTCGGTTTTTACAGTTATCATATGCCGTTAATCATGCTTTGCGTCGTTCGTGCGTTGCACGGTCGCTTGCAGTCTTCAATGATATGAGTTATGTATTCGGCTCCATGCGATCTGCGATTCGCGAAATCGTAAACTAATAAAAGGGTTCCTAAGTGCCTCTGTTTGAAGTTTCCAACCTTAGCTTACGTTACGCTTTAAGTCCTTTGTGATCTTAAACAGAGAGCTGTGTGCTTCTTAGCGACTTCATTAGCGCCTCCCGAACTAGCGCTGGTTCTGTGTCGCCGAGACCCTGTTGCCGGGAGATTTTAAGGCTTCCCTGCGAAAAGGGGGTAAAATAAGCTGCGGATAAATGTTAAATCAAAAATGCTTTGGATGAGTAATTTTCTTTTCTTCCTTCACGCTTTCTTTTCAGCATGGACGAAATTGTATCCGTTTCCGTCTATAAGGAAATCAGCGCGCTAACTGGAGACAAGGAAGACAAAAAGAAAGACATCTTCGATCCGAATCATGTTCGAACTCCAGCTACATCTGTTTCTCATCAAGTGAGTCATTCTTCATTTGAGGTAGTTTTTTTTGCATTAGCTTTAACAACTCCATCAAGCGAGCCCTAGGCACCTAGGAAAGCGTATTCAGACAGCCTTGGAAGGTGAAACGCAATGAATCAATCAGGGAATTTGTCTTCACGCTGTGTGTGGCGTTTCTACTCAGAGGAACTCGCCCGTTGCTGCGCTCTGCGCGGAAAAGTATTTTGTCTCTTTTTGAGGAGGATTGGATTTAGAAGGGTTTGTTTTTAGTGGCAGGGACCTGCTGTGGGGAAGGGGTCGTTGCTGGGATTGGGGTTGAGATCTGGCACAGAGTGCGTGCAGACGTTTTTTGCCATGTCATGAAACCATATCCCCCTCTTCTTAACACTCCCCTGCCAGCTGCCTCCCGCTCAACAGCAACTAGTCGAATTTCGCAGGGGTTCTATAGTGTCGGATTTTGAAATCAAGAGACAGTCAAGGCGGGATAGTGTCTTGTTGGAGGACCGTGCCGGAATCAACTATAGCGGGAGGGTTGGGTAGGGTCGTGAAAATTTTGATATCGGCACCATGGACGGTTAACGCTGGTTTACCACGTGACGCACACGATTTGCAGTCGTATACAAAAAGTACCATAACAAATGGGTAACAAAAGTTGGGCGATGAGTTCAAAGTTGTGTCCGGTATGTGCGCCCGGAATTCTTGAAAATAATTCCCACCGCAGTAAGTTCGTCAGTACTCGGCTCTGGACAGAGCGTAGCTCCAAGAAAACATTGAGAACGGTATCTATCAAGTCACGCGCGCGGAGATTCTTTTCTTTTTCTGCATTCACTCACGGCCTAGCTGCAATGTTTTTGGCTTTTTTTCCTGTGGAATGCTATGAAATGAAATCTTATCTGGTATTTTCCATAAGTTCTATTTCTATTTTCTATTATCTGTTTTACCATTTATTAAGCTTTCCTGCTTGTTTTTGCTTTTCACCTTCAAACGATTCTTCCAATTATTCTTCAGGACTCCGCTGGTGATGTAGGATCCCTTCCACCAGAGGTTGATCCGCAACAGGTGCCTGATGATCCAGTACAAGAGGAACCAGGTTTGTCGCGTTCTTTCTATTTTTAGTTCCGAGGCATAGGTTTTTCTTGGTATTTTATCAGCCTCAAAGGCATGTGAGTCTGCATATTGTAGTGAAATTCTCTCTGTTTCAACGGCTTGATTCGGGTGGAAGTACTGATGCGAAAGCGGACGAAGTAAATGATCAGGTATACTCAAACTTTCTGATTAATTTTATTGTGCGCAGGCTTGCAAGGTCGGTCGCAGGCACCTTGATTATGCCGTGTTTACCGAAGTAAATTTCTGTGTTTTGTCCACTTTCCGTCTATTTCTCGGGCAACTCTCCGCTAGAATTGCATCGATTCTTATGCTTCTCATGTAAATCTTTTGGAGTAAGGCCACTCAATTGCTTGCTGAAGTACCCATTATTAAATTTACCCTCAGAACTAAATATCTGACCGAGCCCGGATCAGTTCATGAGGATTTGGGAAATGCAACGTTGAATTTTAGAAACGCGTCAATTTAGGTAGGGAATTGGTGTAGAATCAATGGTTCCTTTGAGAATCTACTGGAACCTTCTTTTGCTAATTATGTGCATTTTATTTCCTGTTATATTCTATTTATTTTAGTCGTCAACAAAAGGAGGTAGTGAAATTTTTCTGCCAAGTATCGACGAAGAATCACAAAACGTCAAGACGCCTGACGACGATCGCGAAGATCGTCGGACGAGAACATCTAGCGATGTGGTAACGCAAGAAGGTAAGTTTTGCATTTGATAAGTTTAGGTTGTTCACCTAAGCGACATGTGATGAAAGCATCCGAAACACGCGCTATGTTTATGCGGCACTTTCCGTGTCTGCCAAGAATTTTTCGAAGGCAATAATGCGGAGGCGATGATGGCAGCTTAATCAGAAAAGCGATTGGTAGACCTATTTTCCAAGGGTCAATTTTTTGGGGTGAATGTAGTTTGATTTTGCTATACTTTCACAGGCTTGGACAGGTAAAAACAGGGGTTCAGTACTAGTCGTCACCTTTTCTAAGAACTAGCTGAAGTCTCCCTTGCCGAATGCTATTGTTCAAATCAACAAATCCTGTGGATCCTCCACGTAGAAAATCGTAAAATGTTCTTTAGAGTATGCGAATACACATGCGCACCGTTCGTCCGACGTACGTCGCATCACAAAAGATGTAACAGACGACAGCGCTGCATATCTGGAAGCTGGATAGCGGCAGCGGCCATGTATCTGGTTCGCTTCTCAACGAATGTGCGCCGTTCGTTTGCAAACTTGGGCGAACCCTCAGTTAGATTTTAGATTCATTTTATACTTTTTGTAAAAGACGGTGTTCTAGCTATTTTTTATTTTTACTTGACCATTGAACAAGCATAGCCACTGCCCAGCTCTCAACAGAATCTGGGCGCGCCCAGTAAATGGGAGTGCTCCGCGTGCCAGGGAGTCAAACGCGGTTCGAGAACCTCTTGCAGCACTTCTTTTACTAAACGCTCTCCGTGTCTAACATCAAGGGAGGGCTCCCTTTATTTATCCACGGCTTACCCTTAACTAGTATTTAAGAGGAAATTGTTCCTCTCACATTGCTCCTGCGCCGTCCAGCACTGCAATCGTGTACAATGTACTAGATTCGAAGAAAATAGTGAAGCGAATGACCCCCTGCATCTCCTTTTTAACAGTAACATCGAGCAAAATTGGACAAAGGAGTCTGTATTCAGAATAGGCCCCACTCACGGAAGCCGCTAAGAATCTTCATTGGAAGTTGTGCTTAAAATATTTATGGTCGTCGCAATGGAAACCGTGTTTTCGAATTAGAAAACCAACTGTGATGTAAAGTTGTGATCTCCTAGAACTGCTATGCGCGGAAGTCTCAGAGCGGATCAGGTTTCATAAAACAAGCGGTGTGAATTATTTAATAGAATCACACGAATTGGGTTACTATTGAGAAAGAATCTCTTTCTAGAACTGGGTCTGTGTGTGCAGCTTTTGCTACTCACTAATCATGCTCGCGAAAAAATCAATCCAAGGTAGGTGCTCATGGAACGAAACAAGTTGCTCATGGTGTTGTGACGCACACAAAAAGTGCTGCAGGTGAGTTGCTTTCAGAAATTGTTTCACGTAAGCGAAACGCGTTTACTGAGTCAGTGATATTAGGGGGCATCTTTGAAGACTGGTGATATTTGTTTTGATAGTATTTCCTCAGTTTTTGATCTCTTGAAGAACATTCATGATCCAAACCGATGTTATTATCGCAACATTTTAAATAAGTAAGAGCTTGCTGATTCTTGTAATTTGGTGTTTCAATTGTATGGTAATGAGACACTGAACTCTAAGAAGAGGGTATGGGCGAAAAAACGCAATGAATGAGGGGGGGTTTAGGCACAGGTCACTGCATGATTGCTTTGTTTGAACTTGAAGAAAAACAGGGTGTAATACTATTTATCAGTTGTAGTATTTTCCAGATTCTTTACAAACGGGATTGGAAACGGGTCAAAGTTGTCGGAGAGGCGGCCAATGCTGCTGCAAACCAAGCAAAGGTATATTTCTCGTGATTTTCCGAATCATTCTTTTTCGAACGTAGTTCACGTTTTTGAGATGAAGGCGTAGCCACAAAATGCTGAAGCTCTCAACGAGTGATCGATACTGATAGGGTTGTTTTGAAAGATAGTGCATCAAATGAAGTTAAGGCTGCTGCTGATGTCGTAGCTGCTGTGCCAGGACGAGTGGTAGACATGGGGACAAGCCTAGTATCAGACGGAATCAACGGGGTGCAGGAGATATTCAATGTGGATGTTGAGGTAATTTTTTCGATTATTTTATTGGAAGCTAAGCAAACAGTAAGTATGTCGAATATCGTTGATAATGGTTATCGCTGATTTGGTCGCCGAGAGAGCTTGTCCTCAAAAGCCTACAGTAAAACCTCTCAAGTTTTTCTGAGAATTATATCAATTCGTGACAAGTTTGGAATAATTATTCCACATTCTTTTTATGGCGAAAGCACATTCACTGGAATGCTATATGAAGGAAACTTTTGCTCCACGTTGGCGAAGGAGGTGACTACAGATGGTAAATGTCCAGTCTGACTAGCAGTTTGTAGATTTTTACCTTCGAAATGGTCACATACAATTAGGGTTGCTAATAACGAATTTCGAGGAAAGCTGAAAAGCACATTAAGCCACTAAGCTGAACTTCCCAAGGAGAGTTAGCTGACAAGTTCCCAACGTAGCAGTTTTTTTTCAACTCTACAGTGTGGAAGGCTGGAATGGGGTCGTACGAATAAACAAAGGAAGGGGAGAAATCCGCAATAAGGGCGTAATACGGTGTTTTCAAATCCGTAGTCAAACGTGAATGGGAGGACCAACATTAGGTGATCGGAATAGTGAATTCTGATTGTCTAAACACCGTCTAACCTCGGCCTAGGTATCCAGAATTTGAATTTGAACTTTTCAAAGCAATGACCTACTTGAAAAATCGCCACCTTTGTCATCCTCGGGAGTCAATTTGTTCATAATTTACTGTATCACATCGTCAAGCCGGCTTTTGTGATGTATCACCTACTGACGTGTATTGTAGCCTGTCACGGCGCACTGTACTTATCCTGAGCACTTAAAGGCGGGCGGTGATAAATCGGATGTTGAAGAAGGGGAAATCTACCCTCAGCAAAGGGAGGCCAGGTCTCATGAGAGAAATGTTGCGCATTCGCGGGAAGGGCGCGCCTGTAACCTTAAACGGCTTCACCCGTCCCTCTGAATGCCTTCGTGCCTCTGCTCGCTTTCCAATTGTATGTCCTCGCAAGCTGATTTCTCATTGTCGGACTCTGGCAGAGAAGCAGGCCATTCATATCATTAGGGAGGGGAACATAAGTGAGTGAGCTGCTAACAGTACTTGAGGCTACGCCTCGAGGAAAGAGGG